CAGGGCCCGACCATGGCGACGACAAGCAGGGCTCGTTGCTGAACAGGGTGCTGCAGTGGACCAAAGACGGCATCTACTGGGACACGGACCCGCGCCAAACGGGGCTGCCAGCGGCCGAGCTGGGCCTGGCCGACGCGTCGGCCGCAGCGACGCCCGGGGAGCGACCGGCGACGGAGGACTGTCCAGCGGCGAAGTCGCTGCCGACCAAGGCGGAGACGGCCCATCGCCGAGCGGCCGCTCGCGCGAACTACCTCGCGCGGGGCTGCCCCGACCTGTGCTTCTCGGCGAAGGGGTGCTGCCGTGGAATGGCGCTGCCCAGGGGTGTGCGCCTGAGGCTGCTCGAGCGCGCTGGAATTACGTGAGTGGCGTCGGGCGCGCGAGGCAGCTGTTCGCGTGGCAGGACCCGCAGACCCACCTGACCTTCTATTCGGGCGCGGACCACGCTGGCTGCGCGGCTACCCGGCGCTCGACGTCGGGAGGCGCCGCGATGCAGGGCGTGCGTTGCCTGAGCGCGTGGGCCAGCACGCAGAAGGATGTGGCCATTTTCAGCAGCGAGAGCGTGCATTGCGCGGTGGTGCGAGCCAGTTCCGACGCGCTACGGATGGAGACGCCGCGCGAGGGCGCTCGCGGGAACGTCGACCTGGTCGGTGAGATACGCTTCGCAGCAGCGCGCGGCATGGCCATGCGACGCGGACCCGGCAAGGTGGAACACATGACACGACATGCATGTGGCTGCATGGTCGAGCCCAGTCGTGAAACATCGAGCTGGCGAAGGAGAGCAACGCGAAGCATCTGGCGGACACAAGTACCTGACGAAGCCGCGGACCCAGACGCTGATGAAGGGCCCGGGCTTCGAGAGGCACGGCGGACGAGACGAGCGCGCGCAGCAGCTCGAGGTCGACGTGAACGAGGTCAGGAAGTTCCCCCCGCCGCTGGCATCGCTGACCTTGGCGAGCGTGGGGCAGGGGTCGGTCGACAGGGAGCTGCCATGGGCGGTGATTATCTGCGCGCTGTGCGTGCTGCCGGTGGGCCTATGGATCGGGATAGCTATGGGCCGTGGACCTAGGCCAGCGGCAGGAGAAAGACAAGGATCTTCGAGCAGCAGCCGCGGCAGCGGCAACGACATGGGCGACTGCGGAGGCGCTTGCCAGCCCTGCCGCCAACCATTGCTTGGCCAAGGCAGCCGTCGGATCCACACCGGCGAGCGCTACCACGCGAGGAGGGATTGCGGTGGGCTGGAGAACGCGAGAGGTGTGGTGGCGAGGCGGCAGTGCAGGCTGTGCCGGGGATTAAAGCAACCATCGGTGAGACGAGACGGTTTGAGTTTTTGCATTGAAGGCTGGAGGTCGAAAGGGACCGTTCAGCCGTGCCTGCGGTGTGCGCGCGCCCGGTTGGGAGGAGGGCTTGCACGCGTTCCCTCCGCAGTTTTCTGGCTCTGAACTCTTCGGCTTGCTCAAGAACTGGTACCAGTGCTTGCGATTCAGGCCAGGAGAGGAAAACATGCAATCGTTTCGCTTTGTTGGTACCCGTGGGCGTTTCGTGGGCGGCCAGTGCGCTGGCTGGGTCCGCCGAGGTTTTCCCTGGTGCAGTTTGCAAAGTTCCTGTCCCGTCGCTCATATTACATCACCGTTCCACCCCAACAGGTATCGACAGCCCCCATCATCCTTGTCAAATAATGCTTTGCGCGAGAGTTCGTTTATGTACATATAACGGGGGGCTGGGCCTTGGGGCCCCAGGGCCAGAGCCCCGACTTCAAATGTGTGTGCCAGGGGCCAGGCCCGCATTCTGGGGAGGGGACAATCGCCTCCGCGAGGATTCCGGCAGCCGGCACGGCGGCCCGAGACAGCCCGGAATCACCCCCACGACACCCTCCACGGATGTCCGGCGGCCCAAGATGCATTTGCCCTCTTGACATCAATGCGGTCCCAGACGACCCACGAGGTCCCCAAAATCGCCCCGGCCTAAGAGACCCCCATGAAGGCCCCCAGACGGCCTAAGAGGGGTCCTAAAGGGGGAAACCGAATTGCCTTTTCGAGCCCTCCGCCCACAGATGACCCCCGAGGCCGCTAAAAGGCCCCCGAACGGCCCCAAGAGGTTCCCGGGAGGCCCACGGGAAGGCCCAAAGACGTACCTAAAAGACCCCAGGATGACCTGGAAAGGCTCCAGAAGACCCCCAAGAGGCTCCACACTTGGGTCCGAGAGACTTCCAAAGAGACCCCAAGATACGTATAGGAGGCCTCTGGCCCACAACCCAGCCATATTCCCCTGATCGATCTTAGACCGCCGTCAAGGCGGCTTCAGAGGGCCCCGAATCGCCCCCAAGACGGTTTCGAAGAGTCTTCGACGGCCTGGGGGATGTGTGTGTGTGTGTTTGTGTTTGTGTGTGTGTGTGTGTGTTTGTGTGTGTGTGTGTGTGTGTGCGCCCGGGCTTGTCACTGGAAGTTGATGGACCCAGTAGCGAGTTCGGATGTTTGGTGAGGGTGGTCTGGGTAGTGGGTAATCATCACGCGTGTTTCTCTTCGACATTGCCTCTGGAGGGCCACTTTCGGGCCCTGGGCGCCGTCAGCGCCGTCAGGGATCGATCCGGCGTGCAAGCCCAGCCAAAGTGGATCCCAGGTAATGCCTCGTACATCAAGCTATACACCGATATTTAGGCCCAGGAAGCTGCTGGCCAGGATCGGTGTATGCGAGAGAATGTGTGCTCCCCAGGAGGTGTTTGCACGAGGGGCCCGTAAACGACCTGTCATCCAATCAGAAGGTTCTTACTCATGCCCTTCAAGCATTGGACGGGTTCGTCGGAGTTTTGCCCAGTGCCCAGTTGGTGGCCGTGGTGCCCGCCTGTGGCCTCGTGGGCGCCTTGTGGGCGCCTCGTGCACTGGGCGGTTCCGATGTTTCGCCTGATGCTCGCCCGTGAGCGCCCGTGGGTACCTCTTGGGCGCCTCGTGCGCTGGGCAGCCGCATAGCTTGCACCACGCAGATTGCACAGCATAGCCGCGTGCCCTGGATGATAATGCATACCCCCCTTCACACAGTAGAGTTCATTTATCTCCGGAGGCCGAATTGTTTTGCCCGGGGCCAACTTCTTGTTGGCCCGTCTCCACGTTTCCACCACGGGCATAGGCATAGTTATAGGATCGTTTTTCTCAGGGTTTGTGCTCCTCCCGCCCCTCCAGGGAGGCCCTGCCAGAGCAAGCAGGGTTCGCGACGTGGGGTATTATGATGGCATAAGTTGGCACATCACCTTGCGAGCAACATCACCTCATCCTCATCGTGCTGCCCTTCCCCCTCCTCTTCAGTTCGTGCTTTGCGCTGTTATGCTGGGACTTGCCGGGCAAATCTTTACTATCCCCCCCGGAACCCGGAACGTTATTGCCTTTGGGGCATTATGTTCAGGGGTTTTGGTTAGCGTGCACAACCTTGCACCACATAGCCTTTGCCACCGCTTTGGGCTTTGAGTATTTTATGTGTGTATATGTATATAAATATGTGTGCCTGCCGTGCTTAATTTCCGGGCCAGGCTGGACCAGATCAGACACATCCGGTCTTGTCTTTGGGCGATGCAGGCCGCGCGATAATCCAGGCCCGTTTTCGACGTCCAGGCTTGATAACTGGGGCCGATCCGCGGACGGGAGATTTCTGAAATTACATGCAAGTTTGTCTCATGGCCCTTTCGCATGTGAAAGCGCACCATCCCAGCTCAGCCGCTTCTGACCCCCCATACATCCCTGCCATATTACGCAATGCGCGCGCACTTGTTTACCTCAAAGGATTCGTTTGAACATACGCGCGCGCACGTGTCGAAGTCACGCCAGACGCATTGCGTTTGCATTGCAAGCGGTTCAACCTAAAGGACGTCGAAAACCAAATGGGTTCTCGAATCAATGAGAATTGTTGCACAGGTACTGCCCGCGCGCACACACTGACCTTATAGGAAAGCCATTCTCGTCTCACCACGAGCTGCGTCTGTGTTTTTTTGGCATGCACCCCGAGCGCGACGCCGTATCAAAGAATTGCATTCGGGCAGCCCGCGCGCGTCACAGCGCGCGCGTATCAGTATCTGCTCCAGACGATTAGTGTTCGACGCGTTTCGAGACCGAGCTTTCCAACAGCATATGACGCGCAATGTGTGTTTTCCATCAGCAAATGCCAAATGTCTGGAACTTCTGTGCGCGCGTCCTTCCTCACCGTCACTCTCACTGGCGCCATCGCATCACCGCCTTCATCGTCATCACTTTTGCCGCCACTGTCGCCATCATCGGCACAAGCGCTTCCAATTAATTGCCGAGGCATCGACATCATCATCGTCATCGTCGTCACCAACATCGACGTTATTGTTGGTCTTACGGTCATCGGCATCATCATCGCCACCACCATCGCTACTCTCATCATCGTTGCCGCCATTGACGATGCCATCCTGGTCACGGACCCGAACTGAAATGCCCACACGTCAGTGTGTGTTTAGGCACTCGCTGAGGAATTCCCATAAGTAAGCGCCATCGCGGCCGCATCAGACATGCCAAACCAGCTCGCGGCTGTGCGCGCGAGGGTTCGCGCGCCCGGCCAGTGCGGCCGCAGAGATGGACTACCAAGCGCCAGTCGGCAACCGCAATCGCGGCCCGTATAGGTTGTGCCAAACAAGTTGCGGGTGGGAGGGCGGGATGATTGCGCGAGCAGTGTTATTGACAACTCGTGGTTTTACGAAAATTACACTACGAAGCTAGCATCGCAAAACATCCTCTACACATATCGTCCCACATACATTGCACTGCGCACGTAGCTTGCAATTCATACATTGAACCACGCATGTCGCACCACAGAGCTTACACCACAGATGTTACGCATCCAGGGTTTGGACAACTCACAGTTTGGTGTCCACGCTATCAGCTTTCGATGCAGAATCCCTGGTATGTTTCTGACAGCCTTGGGGCCGACAACTGCCCGCAGAGGGCCAACTGGAGGAGAAAGGCCAAGAGGTTGGGGGATCTCGGCGCTACCCGCAGGTCCATCGCGCACCTGACGGCAAACCTGGACGAGGCCATCCCGCTGTTGGAGTCTGACTTTAAGCAGAAGACGCAGGCGCTCAAGGACGCCGCCCCAGCCTGCTACCATCGTATCGGCGTGACTCCTCCTCCTTTTTCTCGTTCTCCCTTGAGGTCCTGGCGTCGTAATCTTTCCGCACTAGGCGTTTTTTTTTGTGTTTCGGGCCACAGGCTCCACATATCGATCTATCGATCCGGCTCGAAACATGCAGCAGAAATATGGGGGTAGGGTTCTGATCGTGATTTCTCGCACTGTGGCAAGTTTTCAGCCACGTGTGATCTGAGGGTCTTCCTCCAAATCTTTCCCGCCTTCCCCAGACTTCTGGCCACGCTGAAAAGGTCGCGCCAGATGTGCTTTGTCATTGTCGACGTCTCGGTACCGCTTCCGCGCCCTTGGCCAGGGCCGTCAAAAACCGATTCAGCATCAGAAACTAGCTCCAGGGAACGATTCTAGAGCTCTGCGGGCAGGAGGCTCGAGTCGTCGAATTTCGGGGTCATCCTTCGGTTCCTTCTCGGTTCTGGCTCTGCTTTTTTTGCCGTGGTTCTAGTAAGCGGGCCCTGCTTCGGATCTATCGCGCGTGCCCTGGGCTGTGGCCAGAATGCTAGCTCAGCGTTTGCTCCACATGTTGCGCGGAAGTGTAGGCCCAGGTTAATCGAACGATTATTTTGATGCAGGTTTCGATTGTTTGTATCGGTTATGTTGTCATGGTGGTTGTTCCCAGTGTATGTTTGAAGAGTGAGGCTTTACCTGACCCGCTCGATCCTAGTAATAGTATGGACATGGCATACATAGCTTGTTGTTGCTATCATTATTTGACCAGCCGCGACACACATCGGCTGCCACCACCGCCCCTTCTACTATTTGCCTGGCCCACCCATAGCGCCTGTCGCCACCATTACACCGCCTCCGCGGAAGGAGGCTACACACCATTACCATAATTGGCCAGCCATGTTGGCCCTTGGGATGGGGTATGGACTCTTGTGGTCGAGCCTAGGCGAGAGGCAGCAAACATTGTCCAAAGGTCCAGGACGTCCCTGGTAAGCGATGCTGGAGGTGCTTTGAAGCTGTTTCCGCATTAACGTCAGCTTGTGACGAATCAGTCAGTTTGTGATACATCCATGAGGGTTAACGTCAGCATGTGACGAATCAGTGAGTCAGCCCGCCAGTCTGTTGAAATAGGCCAGCTGGCCGCGAAACTAACAAAAACACGCGCGCCAGAGGATGGAGGGATGCATGAGGATGAGGAGGAGGTTCAACCACCTTAGAGAGCCTCTGCGGCCGGGGGGATGGGGATGGGTCTCCCCGAATCGAAGAAGAAAGCACGGCACGAACACGGAGTTTCCAAGTTCTGCGCGAATCTTTTGGATCGGCGGTGGACTCCCCTGGCGGCACCTCCAGCGCCGCGCCTGGCGCGCTCCGCCACGGAGAGGATCCAACGCAGATCCACAACATCTGCGCGGATTTCCGAAATTTTAAGTTTATGCGGGTTGTGCTGTTTCCGAAGGGTTGGAACATTCGGAAGAGGAGGTCGGACCTTCTTTCGAGGGGGGGCTTCTGAGCGTCTGCCCCGCCCACTCAGTCCTCCTCCTCCCTCCTTCCTTCTCTTCCCTCTTTCTCCCCCTTCCTCCCTCCTCTCCTCCCCTCCTCCTCCCTCCCCTCGTTCATCCATCCCCGTGGGCCCGAGCGAGGTCGCGCTCGCCCTCTTCAAGGAGAAGCAGAGGACCATGGACGTGGCAAAGAGGGAGGCCCTCCCGCCTCCAGGGGGCCGACGCGAGGGGCTCGGCGGGGGCGATGTCCCAGGGTCGGGGGGGGGGCCAGGGGCAATGGTAAGCGGGGAATTCGGGGATTGCTAGAGTTAAGTCGGGCCTGTCCCTCTACAGGAGGCGTATTCAAAAAAGTAAAGAAATAGTCTGGGGACGATTTGTTGACCATTTCTGTCCATTTTGGAGCATGTTTGAATTCTTTATTTTTTAAAATAATTCTGCCTGTAGGGGGACACGCCCGACCTAATGCTAGGCCCATGGGGCCCTCTGGGCCTCGTGCGGGGTGCTCTGGAGGCCATGGGGGCCTCCTTGGAAATCCAGGGGGGTGACCGTGGGCCAGGGGCACTTCTAGCAACACCTGAATCGCCGATAGGGGCCGGATAGCCCCGCCCCGCCAGTGAACGTGCGGAGTCGCTGCTGGCGGCCTATCGCCGATTTGCAGGCGACGCACCGCCCATTTTAGGTCTGCCCATTTGCAGCCCACCCTGCCCAGGAGCCTGCGATCGGATGCCTGTCGCCGATCCAACGGCGGCGCATCGCCGATTCTAGGTCGATGCTCCCCCCCCCCTTGAGCCAGACCCCCCCCCCATCTGATGGGCTGGTTTTCCACCACCACTACTATAAGTTGGAGGAGGAGGAGGAGGAGGAGGAGAGGAGGAGGAAGAGGAGAGGAGGAGGATGAGAAGAAGAAGGACAAGGAGAGGGAGGAGGAAGCAGGGCGGACATATGATCCTCTTAGGATGTCTCTTGGGGGTTATTTTGGAAACCTCTTGGAGCGTCTGAGGGGGATCTTGGGGGCTTCGGGGATCCTCCTGAAGCCTCTTCGGGTCTCTTGGAGGTCTCTTGAATGCCTCTCGGAGCCCCTTGGGATATCTCGTGGGCGGTTGTTTTGAAGCCTCTTTGGACGTCTCCGGGGTCTCTTGGCGGTCCTGAGGACTCTTGGGCGTCTTGGGTGCCTCGGGGAGGCCGCTTGGGGTCCTCTTGGGGGTCTTTTGGGGGTCTCTTTGGGTCATTTTGGGGCTATCTTGGGGCCATCCTGGGGCCTCTTGGGGCCTCCTGGGCGCCTCTTGGGCCCGTCTGGGGTACTTTGGGGGCCTTGTCGGGGCGTTCTCGGAAGCTTTAGGGGCTCTCTTGGGGCCATCTTGGATGATATCGGTCAACGAAGGGGGGACGAAGGGGGGGTCCTTAATTACGCCCCCCCCCCCAGGAGGCCAACATGGAGCCACAACCCTAATAAAACCACTGATTTTTGCTTCCTCGCCGAGGCCGTTTTGGACGCTCCGACACCTCGCGGAATCCCCCCTGTCCACGTCCATGGGGAGGGGGTAGGGGGAGGGGTAAACCCCTCCCCGAAGGGGAAGAAGGAGGGGTGGAAGAGGAAACTCTCGAAACCACCGACGCCCAGAGGGCTGGTGGGACTGGGGAGGGGAAGGACAGCGATGCGGGAGGGGTGAGGGGCAGGAGAGGTAAGTGGGGGGATCGGATCAGGAAGTAAGTGAAGGAGCGGGAGGCGACCAACGCCCAGCAGATCCGCAAGAGTTTGCCCATACAGGTCTACAAGAACGCGGACTTCGAGAATGCCGAGCGGAGAGCAATCGACTCCAAGGCATCTGTCAAACACGCTTACAATGCCGAGGACATCTTCCTGCATGCCACCAACGAATCAGTACGGCAGCGTCCTAGAGACCAGCGAAGCAGTGCCACTGATGTCTTACCTGAAGGGCGTGCTGGTCACACGCGGGGCCAAGGCCATACACCCACACAGCGACAACCTGATCTTCAGTACGGGCAACCTGCACACGACTCGTGACAGCACAGACGCGTGCCGGGCTACATGCGCGCGGGAATGACCACAACGGAAATGTGGTATCAAGGGTGGAGGTCGGCGACAACGAGAGGGGGTACCTCAGAAACTACAGAGCCGAATACCGCGCACAAATCCCACCAGCCCTCTGGGCGTCGGTGGTTTAGGGCGTTTCCTCTTCCACCCGTCCCTCTTCCTCTTCGGGGAGGGGTTTATCACTGTTCCCTATTAATAAACACCCCCTCCCCCAGGCGACGGGGCCAACCAGGGTCCATGACGACACCCCCCACCATTCCTTGTACAAAAAATAATGCAAACCACACTCTGCCTCCAAATTCGGAACATGCGCAGCCAACCCGATGCGGCCCCCCCCCACCATCCCTGTCAACAAACAATACATAGTACACTTGGCGGCGGCGGCGGCTGCGGCGGCTGCGGCGGCGGCGGCGGCGGCGGCGGCGGCGGCGGTGGCGGTGGCGGTGGCGGTGGCGGTGGCGGCAGCGGCTGCGGCGGCGGCGGCGGGTTGGCAGCGGGGGGCGGCGGCGGCGGCGGCGGCGGCGGCGGCGGCGGCGGAGGCGGCGGCGGCGGCGGCGGCGGATTGGCCCCCAGCAGCTGCCCATCCAAAGGCGACTGCTGAATATACTCAGGCTCGGGCCAGACTCGGGTGCTACGTATGTGTTGGGAGGGCGGGTGGGAGTGAGCGAGACGGCTTGCGGGCGGGGAGGGGGTCTTTACCCCCCCCATACCCCCTCCCCATGGACCTGGACAGGGGTTCCGCGAGGTGTCGGAGCGTCCAAAACGGCCTCGGCGAGGAAGCAACACGCATTGGTTTTACTAGGGTGTTGGCCCCATTTGGGCCTCTTGCGGGGGGGGGTAGTTAAGGAACCCCCCTTCGTTGACCGATATCATCCGAGATGGCCCCAAGAAGCGCCCAGGAGGCCCCACGATGGCCCTACGAGGCCCCCAAGAGGCCCCCAGGAGACTCCCAAGAAGACCCGAAGCTGCCCCAAGAGCCCCCCCCCCCGAGGCGCCCAAGACCCCGAAGAACCCCCCTGGATCGCCAAGAGACCCCCAAGACGTCCCAAAAGGCCACCAATAATCGCCCAAGAGATATTCCAAGAGGCTCCGAGGGGCATCCATGAGACCTCTGGTCCTTGTGCTTGCCCTCCTCCTCCTTCTCCTCCTTTTCCTCCTCCCGTTCCTCCTTCCTGCTCCTGCTCCTTCTCTTCCTCCTCCTCCTCCGCCTCCTCCTCATCCTATTCCTCCTTTTTCCCATTCCTTCATCCATCCATCCATCCACCTCCTCCTTCTCCTCCTCACTCCTTTGCACGGTTCGGCCGTCCTCCTCTGTGCTGCCGCACTTCCCTGATCACCTCAACTCGCCTGGACATCGTTTCTGGATGGGCTGGTGGGGATACGCGAAGCGTTTAGAATTACTAACGCTGGCGGTTCGACACAGGGTGCGAATCCCAAGTGTGGCCACCGTCCAACAACAACCCGAAGCGGCCACTCCTAGGCAATACCGAATATCACCCACCAGCACACGTCGAGGTAGAACCAGACGTTGACATCACAACCGTCGCTCCAACCAGGATTGCCCCAGTCCGTGCTACCACGGCGAAGCGCCCCCTTACCACGACAGGCGCCGGGTGCGTTCGAACCTGAGGAGATCATCGCGCACGGATGCGTACGAATTAGGACACAGCAGACATCCACAACCTCATAAAGCACACCACATCGACAAACATCTGCTGCACCAAACCGCTTACAACGCCCTTACGGCGAGGTGGAACAACCACTTCAACAGCCCTGGGGCTCCCACCGCACAAAAAGGGCCATCGAGATCATGCCGCTTACGCCTGGGAGGAACCAGGTCGTCAGAAAAGGACGATCACTTCCCTTTCCCAGGAAGACACAACCCTCCGCCGCCCGCGAGCCCACCACCGCTGGCATGACCGCACACAAAAGGTGGACCCCACGAGTTGGCAACGCGACTGCAGGAGCTGGACATCCGCGAGGGCATGCCATGCAATCCGATTTGCCAGCCCCCATGCCCACGCTGATGGATCGTCTGCCCCCATGCCCACGCTGCTCGCTCGGTGCAGACGGACATCATTGCCATGGACGACACGGCGGCCACATGCAACCATAACGACGGCCCCTACAAGAGACTTTTGACGCCACCAAGAATATCATCACGGGCATGACCATGGACCAGCTTTGCAACTACATCGTGGGCAACCCTGAGATCGACGCTTGCACCAACGACCTCCTGATGAACCAGCACGACAGCTTCGCGCACCCCGGAGGCATCGCGAGGATTATCGCTGATATTCAGACGGCGAACTCACGTGCAGCGGCGCACATTTTGAAACCAAGCCCAGCACTCACCGACCGAGTATTCACATCGCGGATTAGATGTCAAGCCAGACCGAATCAGTTGAGGAAAGGGACCGCACCGAGCAAGATATCCACAATTTCATAAACCCGATGACTGACGGCCCAGCGCAAACGCCAGCAGCGCCCACGCCAACGCGCGGCGACAACCCCACACAACGGCGCCCCGGATGACAAGCGAGTCGACCCGAGCCCTGCGGCCGCCGCATCGGCGAGCAACCATGGGGCGGCAGCTGACCCCTCCACGACGGCGGAGAGCTCACCAAAGGGGGAGCGCCGGAAGGCGCCGCAGCCGAACAGCCAGCTGCGGCAAGCTGCGCGAGCAAAACCACCCCCCGCAACGATACGATCAGGGGGCCGAGCCCACGGGCTCAAGCCCTGCGCCGTCGCCCACCATCAAAGCCCAACTCGCAGACGACAGGCGGCTTGGCCCATGGACCAAGCAGGTCTTCCGCATAGGCCGCGCAGCCAGTGCCCACCCAGCCGCCCCCCAAACCGATTCCCGCCACATGTAATGGGGCCCGAAGAGGGCAACTCGGCCCATGGCCACCGCGGGCGCGACTACCGTGCACGAGGAGGCCCACGCGCCTCTTGAGCAGCCACCTCTCGGCGTTCGCATGCGGGCCGCGGCGAGCGACGTGCAGCGCGACGCGGTCGGCGGGCTGGCCGACGCCATCAGCGCCATCCGCCACATTGTCGCCATTCTTAGTTCTTGTTTCGCCCATTGACGGTTCTGGATCGTCAAGACGCAGCAGTCAGGCTGATACGTGGCGTTGAAATCCCGAGAACATTGTTTTGGCACGCTTCAGGATCTTCAAACTGTTGGCTTCCAACGGGGCAGTTCCCTCAACAATGGAAATGAACCGCTGTAGGGGCCGATAACGAGGGAGCTTGGAGGGAGGGTTGATTCCAACATCGTTGATGATTCTTGGGTTTCCGCTGGTCCTCCTGTTCCTCCTCCTCCTCCTTCTCCTCCCCCCATAGCGCTTGGGGATCTAGTTGCCCGGCCGGGCGTGTTTTTTGTTCATATGTATACAGATATAACAACAAAGCTACCTCAGTTCGGCCCCCGCCCCCAGGGTTGGGCGGGGATGGCAGCGACAGGATGTTTCAATGGCCGCCAGTGCTTCAGCGGGAGACGAGAGAGGGGGAAGGAGGAGGAAGAGGAGGAGGAGGAGGAAAGGAGGATAAGGAGGAGAAGGATAATGTAGGAGGGATGGAAAGGAGGAGGAAGAGGGGCATGAGGTCGCGATGAGGTTGGAGAGGGGAATTGAATGAGGATGTTCGGTGAGGGAGTCGGACGTGGCAGAGGAGGCGAAATGATCGCGAATACGATTGGCAGGATGAGAACTGGTGACGTGACAAGGACGGGGTCATGAAGGTGGGAGGAGGAGGAGGAGGAGGAGGAGGAGGAGGAGGAGGAGGAGGAGGGGGAGGAGAAGAAGAAAGAGGAGGAGGATGAGGAAGAGGGGGAGGAGGGGGAGGGGGAGGAGGAGGAGGAGGAGAAGGAGGAGGAGGAGGAGGAGGAGAGAGGAGGAGGAGGAGGAGGAGGAGGAGGAGGAGGGAGGAGGAGGAGGAGGAGCAGCATGAGCTGCAGTAGGAGTAGGAGTAGGATGAGGAGGAGGAGAAGGAAGACGAGGAGAGGAGGAGGAGGAGAAGGAGGAGGAGGAGGAGGAGGAGGAGGAGCGTGAGTGGGCAGGATGAGGATACCGGTTACGTAAGATCAGAAGGAGGTCCTCGCCCGATGAAGAAGGAGGAAGAGCAGGAGGATGATGATGATGATGATGAGGAGGAGGAGGAGGAGGATAAGAAAGGAGGAGGGGCAGGAGAGAGAGAGAGAGAGAAAGGGAAGCGCAAACGGATGGATAGGCGGCGGAGGATGATAATGAGAATGCGAAAGCGAAGTCTGCTGAGAAAACACGCTGAGGAGGGGGCAAGGCCGAACAGTCCCCCTTTCGTATAATCAGTGCCGAAAGGGCGGGCACAGTCCACAATCGAGGCGACGCCAACGACAGCCATTCAATAGCACTTGGTGAGTCCCACGGCTGCTGGAGAGGACCATCGGCCCTGGGAACCGAACACACCTCGTCCCTATTCCCTCTGGGGTTCTTCCTCCCCCTACCCTGGCCCCCCCATCCTTTTCCTGCCCCGCTTCCTTTTCCCACCCCTCCCGATCTTCCTCTGACGATTCGTGGCATGGTGAGGTCGGGGGGCCGGTTGCGCGGGTGGGAGAGCCCAGCGAGCCACCGCAAATGTATCGATTCGGGAAAGGGGAGGAAAGGGGCATGTACAGTCGATCCCCCTTTTCCTCGTCCTCCTCTTCCAACCCCTTACCCGCTTCTTCAGCATCACCGCTTCCATCGTCATCAGCGTCATCATCATCATCCTCATCCTCATTCTCATTATCATCCTCATCATCATCATCATCATCATTATCATCCTCACCATCATCATCATCATCATCATCATCATCATCATCATCATCATCATCATCATCATCATCATCATCATCATCATCATAAGCGTCATCATCATCGCTGTCAGCATCAGCATGAACATCACCATCATCACCAGCACCATCACCATCAGCATCATCATCATCATCATCATCGTCATCATACTAGTCATCATCATCATCATCATCATCATCATCATTATCATCATCGTCATCATCATCATCATCATCCTCAGCATCATCATCGTCATCATCGCCATCATCGTCATTACGATCATCGTACTCTTCGTCATCCTCATCGTCATCCTCATCTTCCCCGTCATACTCATCCTCATCGTCATTCTCACTTTCCTCCTCATCCTCATCGTTGTCCCCCTCTTCCTCCTCCTCCTCCTCCTCCTTCTCGCCATCATCATTGCCCCTTTCGCCCCAGCACGTGCAGGGTTGGGGGTTGGACGGCGCGCGTGCGCCCTCCCCTCGGCGTCCTCCCTCCCCTCGGGCCCACTCGGCGCGCTGCGTGGGGGTCCTCGCTCGCATCGCGTTCTTGAGGGCGCAGCTCCACGCGGTCTGCGAGCTGGTGGTCAACACGCCGGTCGTTGAAAGCAGGCGCTTTTGGATTCCCAGGCACCAACCTGCTTCAGGTGCCTTCCTTCTTCAAGAATTGATGTGCTCTTGCTGTGCCTTGTTATTCTCTGGGAGGGCCTGAGCCCAATGTGCTTTATCCGTCTTCCTACTTCATATGTTTCCCTACTCCTTCCGACCGACGGATACTTCTGCCACGTATGAGCTGACCTGGGTGCAAAAGGTGGCCGTGTCTGTCTATCCTGATGCGCAGGTGGCTGCTGAAGCCCCACCTTCCGCGGCCGCCGCCCTGAACTGGCTCGAGCAGGTTGCGATGATAAAGCGAGAGGCTGATAAGGGGACATCGTCATTCGGATGGGCACTGGACAGTCGACTTCCTGATCACGGGTGGGCCTGCACGTCATGCTGAGCATGAACACGGTGATCATCTTGACGGCGGCGATGCCGACGAAGGGCAGCATGGTCAGCATCTTGGACCACGCTCTGGAAGGCAACGCCGTTCTCTCAGTGGTGCACTGGCAGGTGGGTGGACTGACCCTTGGTATTGAGGGAGCGACCCGTGGTCTGCAGGTGGCGGAGGCCCCATGACGAAGGTGCCTCGGCACCATGGCATTTTACCATAACTGCCGTCTTTCCCAACCTTCCCGCACAATTCGAGCGCAGAAGCCTTCGTACCACAGCCGCTCCAGCTTGAGATAGAGGAAGCTGCCTTGGCTGTTCTTCGTCCCGATGAGGAATCAGCTGCGGATGTCTTACCTCGTCCTGGAGTTGGTATTGATGCAGGTGGCCCTCTGATGTTACACCCCCGTGAGCAAATATAACAAAAGTGGCAGAGGGATTGAAGCCGAAAAGATGTTGAATCAGACCTGGCGGAGCCCGCCGCATCAATTGACATCCGCCTGTCAATCTTACAGAAACAACGTCTCGTTTGCATTGCGCGTTGCGTGCTAGCCATCCGACTGATGGGACCGCAAGGCAGAACGTGGAACCACCCACGCCAGCGGCCCTGTGAAGGATCAACTTGGAAGAGCTGCCGGGCATTAAGTGGCGTCCGCCTCCCAATGTTGCCACTGGACGCGCAAGCCAAAGTGCGGCATATCAATGACCTGGCCAATGGTGCACGCCTGCGCATTCTGCCAACATTGAATGGCGAATATCAGTTAATGATCCTCTTCGGGCGTTGCCGTCTGCAAATCATTCACGGTGATCGTCTTGTTGATTGTGTTATCAATTTGTCCCCAGACGTGTGGGTGTCGAACCTGCTTGGGCGTGCTCCAATCGTTCTGGCGGCAATCGCCTCATAACGTCGGCAACCTCTGCGGCTCGGGCAGATGGAATGGGAAGCGCCTGGTCCCTGATACATAAGATGGTACCCGGACAGCTGCCGTGGTCTGTCGTGGCTTTCCTGGGAGGCTAGGGGGGGAACGCGAGGGAAAGAACATGAAGATGCGAAGGAGGGGGAAAACGAGGAGGGGGGATGAGCAGGAGGATTAGAAGGAAGAGGCGAGTGAGGATGCTGATGATGCTTCGGCGGAGGAGCGAGAGCTAAGCAGTGGCCGGCGATGTGGCGACCCCACATGTTGTCTTCGTCGTGGTCGCCGTGGTCGCTGTCGTCGTCTTGGTCATCGTCGTCGCCGTCGTCGCGGTCATCGTCGTCGTCGTCGTCGACGGACGTCGCCCGCCGTTCCTGGCAATAACGGCTGCGTTTTGGGCCTGGGGCCCAAGACCCGCCCGTCGTTGTCGGGCGCAACTCCATTTTGGCCGGGAGCGGGCTTACTGTGAAGATCCGCTTGCGACGGCAAATGTTCGATGTCTGGCGAAACTACTTAATGATTGGACGCGGGCGGTATCAGGTTCACTGTGTAAATTCATGTACGGGACGCATTTTCCGTCGCCCAGGGGCCCCGCTTGACGATCGGGCGGTGGCAGGTTTATTGTGTAAAATCAGACACGGGACGCACTTCGCGTAAAGTGGCGCGCCCCGGCGCGCCCACTTGACGATCTGGTTGTTCCGCGTGTTGTGCGTGAAAAACAGGACGGGGAATATTAATCGCGAAGCGGAATTGCTTAAATTCTTGAAGCGGATCTCTCTCTCTCTCTCTCTATATATATATATATGAAAGAGCGTGTTATACTGCTGCTGGCGGAAAACCGGGGGGGGGTCACTGCCGGTTCGAACCCCTCCCCCCCCCCCTCGGAAAACCGGGGGGGGTCATTACCGGTTCGAACCGCTCCCCCCCCAGTCCATGATGAAAAGGGGGGGGGGTCACTACCGGTTCGAACACCCCCCCCCTCTCGAAAACCGAGGGGGGCCACTACCGGTTCGATACCCCCCCCCCCCCTCGAAAACCGGGGGGGGGGTGCGGACAGTGGTGGGGACGGTGGTGGTGGGGACAGTGGTGAGGGGACAGCGGGACAGTGGTGGGGACATTGGGACAGTGGTGGGGATGGTAGTGGTGGGGACAGTGGTGACGACAATGGTGGGAACAGTGGGGACAGTGGGACACTGGTGGGGACGGTGGTGGTGGGGACAGTGGTGTGGGGACAGTGGGAACGTGGTGGAAACAGTGGGACAGTGGAGGGTACAGTGGTGGTGGGGACAGTGGTGAAGGCGGTGGCGAGGACGGCGGTGGGACAATGGGACAGAGGTACAGTGGGGACAGTGGTGGGGACAGTGGGGACAGTGGTGGGAACAGTGGGACAGCTCAGTGGGACAGCGGAGGAGTCAGTGGGACAGTGGGGACAGTGGGGATAGTCGGGCAGTGGTTGGGGCCGTGGAGAAGTGGGGAGAGTGGAACCGTGGTGGGAACAGTGGTGGGGACAGTGGGGACAGTGCGACAGTGGTGGGGCACTGGTGGGGACAGTAGGGACGGTGGTGGAACCAGTGGGGACAGTGGTGGTGAGTGGTGCTGGGAACAACAGTGGGGGATGTGGTGCGGACGGTGGTAGGGACCGGGAGTCGTTTGCTGGCGGTGAGAGGGGGGGGGGGAGGGGTTCGAACTGGTAGTGACCCCCCTCCGGTTTTCGAGGGGGGGGGGGTTCGAACTGGTAGTGACCACCCCCGGTTTTCGAGGGGGAGGGGGGGGGAAGGGGGGGGGAGGGGTTAGGGGAGGGGGGGGGGGTTGCCGGGGGAGGGGGGGGGGGGTCCAGCAGGGGTGGTGATTTTCGGAAGGGGGGGGAACCCCGGGTTCGGAGGAAGAGGGGGGGAATTTTCCACAGTAAAGCGGCGGTGGATCACGCTCTTTGTCTCTCTCTCTCTCTCTCGCTCTCTCTCTTATATATATATATATATGTATATACACACAAGTGTTGCTAAAATGTCCCAGTTTACGATGGATGCCCCCTGTCCTCGTCCTTTCTGCACAAGCCGGGCATTGGGAAACAAACGTAAAATTTTAAGTGGGCACGCCAGACCACGCCACTTTACGCGAAGTGCGCTCCGTGCTTGAATTTTCACATTAAGCCCGCACCCGCCCGATCGTTAAGTGGGATATGCCGGGCAACCTAAACTGCACCCCGTTTGTGAATTTTCATCATAGAACCCGCCCCCCGCTGGATCGTCAACGCGGTTCGTTGGAGAACGCCTCGCAGGTCCCGCAGGTCTTGTCAGTGCCACAGGTCCCCCGGGCCTCGCAGGTCGCGCAAGTCTCACAGGCCACGCAGGTCTCGCAGGTCCCACACGTTTACGGTGTCGCAGGTTTTGCAGGTCCCACAACTCCTCAGGCGCTGCAGGTCGCGCAGGCCCCGTGGGCCCCACAAGCCCTACAAATCCCGCAGGGCCCGCAGGTCGTTCTCAGGTCCTAACAAGGCCGACGTTTTGCACAGGTCCGACAGGTCTTACAGGCCCCTCAGCCACCACAAGTCGCGCAGGTCGCACAGGTCCCGCAAAGCCCACCTATCCCGCAAGTCGCCCAGGTCCCGCATGTCTCGCAGGCCCCACAAGTCTCACACGTCCCACAGGACCCACAGGACAATAGGTAACCGCGGGGAAACCCAATATTTAGGCAGAGTTACCCATCCCCGTGAAACAACTATGTAACATTATCCCAGCGCGACCCGACCTAGGAGTTGGAGCATTTAGGAAAGCAACATCTACATCTACACCGACAGCTACATTTACATCTACAGCTGCATCTACATCTACATCAACATCAACAGCGAGACTCACATCTACATCTACATCTACACCTACATCTGCACCTACATCCACACGCATCTAAGCTAAGCTAAGATGAGATAAGCTAAGCTAAGCTAAGCTAAGCTAAGCTAGGCTAGGCTAAGCTAAGGTAAGCTAAGCTAAGCTATGCTAGGCTAGGCAAAGCAAAGCTAAGCTAAGCTAAGCCAAGCTAAGCTAAGCTAAGATGAAATAAGATAAGCTGAATTTAGCTTAGCTTAGCTAAGCTGGGTGAACCCAGGGGGCGTAACTGGGGGAACCGCGGGGCGGATACTGGGGGAACCGCCCGGGGCGGGCCCCACTGCCCGGCCCTTAAAGCCCATTAGTAAGAACCCTTCTAGGCAGAGCTTAGGTAGGGAAAAAGTGGCGCAGGGATGGGAGCCGAAAATATGCTGAATCAGAGCAGGCATCAAGTCACATCCGCCTGTCAGTGTTATGGAAAAGCGTTTCGTCTGCATTGCGCGTTGCATGTTTGCCATCCGACTGGTGGGAACGAAACCGGAAGGCAGAACGTGGAACCACCCACGCCAGTGGCCCTGTGGAGGACTAGCTTGGAAGAGCACCCGGGCATGAAGTGGCGTCCGCCTCCCAATGTTGCCAGTGGGCGCGCGCACCTAAGTGCGGCATATCAATGACCTGGCCCATGGTGCACGCCTGCGCACGCTGCCAACATTGAATGGCGAATCTAAATTAATGATCCTCTTCGGGAATCGCCGTCTGCAAATCATTCACGATGATCGTCTTGTTGATTATGTTATCATTGTCCCGGATGTGTATGCGGTGAGCCTGGTATTTGCCCGTGCGTGTATGATATGATTCCAGAGGCATCGTTTTCGCCGAGGAGGTTTTTCGTACTCCTCGCCTCCTCACGCGGTCCTGCTGCCCCCGTGCGGGGGATCGGCCGCGGCCTCCGCCTACTTCATCATCATCATCATCATCATCATCATCATCAGCAGCAGCAGCAGCAGCAGCAGCAGCACCACCATCACAATCATCATCATGGTTAGCGCCATCATTATCAGCAGCACCATCCTCACCAACAACATCAATAAGTTGAAGGCTGTTCGGTATTCGTTGTTCGCGTGCCGTTCGTGGTGTATACCCCAGACCCTCGATGCCCGCCCTCTCCGTCCTCGCTCGCAATTGCGTGCCACGTGTAGTTGGCGGGCTTCTAAAGCAGCAGGAGGAGGGACAGGAACAGGCATTAAGCGAGGAGCGGAGGGGGGTACGAGGAAGGAGGGGGACAAGAGGGAGGGAGGAGGACTGAAGGCGAAGAAGATTTCGCCTGCGGGGAGGAGAGAGGAGCAATCATTGTGGCGAGCAGGCCCTAACTGGCGAGTCGGGCGGGCGGACCCCAACGGGCGGGTCGGGCGGACGGGGCACTAAAGCAGGCGGGAAGGCTTCCGAGCACGCGGACGGGCAGACTTTGACGGGCGGGGCGGGCGGGCGCATCCTATCGGGCGGTTGGGGCGGGCGGACCCTAACGGGCGGGTCGGCCGGGCGGTTCCTAGGCGGGTTTCAAGCAGGCGAGCGGGCGGACCTCGATTGGCGGGTGGGGCGGGCGGACTCTGTCAGGCTGGTCGGGCGGGCGGGCGGGCCCTAGCAGGCAGCTTGGGTTGGGCGGGGCATTGAAGAGAACTTTGCAAAATGCAGTCTTGTGTTGATTGTGAGGAGGGTCTCGCGCCGAGAGCGCGATCCCCTGGCGTCGAGGGCGCTGCGCCGGAATATTTTGCAGGGAAGGCCTGAGCGAGAGCGCCCGCCTCCCCCACGCCTCCCTTCTTGGCATCGTTTGGGCGTGTGCATTCTGTCGCGGCGAGGACCATCGAGGAACATCTCGGATCGGCTCGCGAAGGAATGAACGCACAAAGTGCACGGAGAAAGGACGCTCGAGCGATATCAAGCTTCTGCTCACCCTTCTCACCCTCACCCTATCCCCTGACATCTGCGAGCCAAGGCCTCGAGAGGCATCGGAGTCGATGGGTTCAGGAGCACAGCGCTCGGTGCGTTCACCCTCCGATCTTTCGGGGCGCTGTCTTCCCTTCTTCATTCCTTCTTTCCTTCCTGGCCGTCGTCGTCCTCGTCGTCGCTGTCGCCGTCGCCGCCACCGGCGGCCGCTCCACGGGCGTGCCGCACGGGACGCCCAGCCGTTCTGGCACGCAGGAGACCGGCCACGAGCCGCCGCCCGGGCACAGGCGCAGCCTGCGGCCCGCGCGCGATGGCCGCGGGCGCGGCCCCCGCACCAGTCGGCCTCGCGGACGTGGTGCGGCTCGAGGCCTCGGGCCGACCCGCCGCCTTCGCCGCCGCCGCCGGGGGAGGGCCCATCGGGGGGAGGAGGAGCGACACCGCCACCACCAGGGGTGGAGGGCACCTCCAGCTGGGGATGGGGGAGGGGGGATGCCTCGCGCCGGGAGGGCGGGGGGGGGGGCACACCACCAGGGTGCCCCTCGACTGCATGTAAGAGTGACCTTTCGCCAGAGCGACCTTTGGTCCCTGGTGCGGACCATACGGGATCCCCCGATCGCTGAACAAGTCGCGCGCCAAAGGTCACTCTTGCCCTGGACGCGCCGCTCCTGGGGCCGGCGGCCTCCCCCGATGTCCTGGCGCCGCATTTTTGTCCACAGCGGGCGGTGTTGCCCTGTTTCGGGCCACGGTACTATCGCAGGTCGGTCGGGTCGGGGCTCAAGGGACGGGGTGCAATGCAAACGAGGGTCAGTCAGAGCGCCGGATCTCGTAGGACCGTGCAGGATCTTGCAGGATCTTGCAAGGCCTGACTGACCCGGGTTTGGACTGACCCGGGTCAGCAGATCCCCGATCGAGCTCGAACGATACAACAGAACGATGGGGTCGATTGTTGCGGTCGTGATTTCTGGGAATGCTGCGATCTGTCCGCAACGTTGGACCTCAGGGAGGAGGCGGCTCTCGAGGATGTATCCAGGAACGTGTTTTTGTTATGTTGCTCGATTTTCGCTTCAAAGCTTTATGAGAGCCCTTTTTGTTGAGGGCGTGCCCACTTCTGAGCTTGAGAACACAGGCGAGGATAAAAAAGCAAGCCCCGTGGAGGGGGTCGAGCCCTCCGGGGATGTCTCGAGCGAGGAGGGTCCCTCCCTAGCGCCTGCGCGGGTGTCCTGAGTGCCGCCCCCCCCCCCTCCCCGCAGTCTCCTCCCTTGCCCCTCTCCCGGTGCCAATTCGCTCTTCGGCAGCCCGACCCTCGCTCCTCCCCATCTTCCTCGTTGACCTCCTCTTCTCCCCCTCGATCCTTCTTCTGCCCGCTCTTCCGCCGGAGCGGCCGGCACGGTCGGCGAGCCCTGCGTTGAGACGTGCTCGGGGCCGAAGGGCCTTTGAGCAGGTGGCCTGTGGGACGCGTGGGCCGCGGATCCAGCCCGAGGAGGAGGAGGAGGAGGAGGAGGAGGAGGAGGAGGAGGAGGAGGAGAAGGAGGAGGAGACCTGGGTTCGCCCGGCTCGTGCGAGCGCCGATCCCGTGACAGGAAGCCGGGTGTCCTTGCGAGGGGGCGCCGCCATGGCCCAGGGGCCCGCCGGCAGACCTTCGGGCGGGCTCACCGCCTCTGGCGGGGTCGCCGGCGGCTCCCTCTCACCGAGCGCCGCGCAAATTGTATGCTCGAAAACGTCCGAAACAAAAAAACATGTTTTCGGTTACGTAGTGGATCGTAGATCCCCCGCGGCGGATCCAGGCCATTTTGCAAGTAGTGACTTTGCGAGTAGTGGGACGCGCAGGTCTACCCTCTGCACAGTCAAGGCGCCAAAGGTCGCTCTGTTCTAGGCCTCCCACTTGAGGTCCGAGCAGATGGGGTCGGAGGATCGCGGCGCATCGCCGAAGCATGGGCGATGCGAATCGATGTGGATCTCGGTGTTCTCCTCGTCGACGTTGCTGATGCATCGTCGACGCCGACGAGGCATCCCCGATGCAACGCCGACGTATCACCGTTGCATCGCCGAGGAGGCGCGATCCGGGAGGCCTCCATCTGTCTGGGCCCACGTGGGACTGTTTAGATCACTGCTGAGTTCTTCCCATGGCGACGCGATGCTTTGCTATGGCTTACAATGCTCGTGTCTGGTTGTGCTCGCTTGTCCGTGAACCGCGCGTTTGGGGTAGTCCTCCTGAGGGGCAGCGGATTTCTCGATCTGTCTTCCCTGCTTGAATCCGTTTGAAGCGACAGTCAAGACGCTGCGATAACGACCACTCTGGGCTCAGGAAGGGCCTCTGGTTTCTGGGCCGTTCCTTCGATCCAGGTCGGGGAGCCTTCTTCATGGCCGAGGCTCGCCGTGGCCAGGCAAGCTCGCTCGTTCCTTCTTTGGCGCTCCCCGTGGCGGCACGATGGCTGCAGGTCCGGGGCCTCTCCGGCGACCGCCTCTGCGGCGACCTGGCGGCGCCGCGGGCCGCCGACGTGGCAGCGCTGCGGGCCATCCTGGACGACGCGCTGCCGAGCGGCCTGGCGGGCAGCGATACGGTCCTGTACGAGGCCAGGGCAGGGACACATTGCACAAACTCGGGCGGAGGGGGTGACCTAAATCGGGGGTGATGAAAAAGGACCTGGACCTTCCCCCCCCCATGAGGTCACCCCCCATTGCCACCCGCTCGACAAACATGATTCGAATGTTGCCAAAGGTGTCCATGGCCCAAGGTGTCCCCCAGATCTCCATGGTGGCCTGGTATCCTCCAGAGTTCCCCTCACAATACCCAGAGAGCCCCAGGGGCCCCAGATCGGCGCTCAGCAACTCTAACGTGGTGATTGTGAAGCGTGCCGTTCTTGAGAGATGGCAGCGACAAATGCTGAGACCCAGTGTCAGGGCAGGGAGTCCATTAGCGGCTCGTGTGGCAGCCTGTCCGGTGCCTTCCACACACGATGGTAAATTTCGTCATGGCATACCGGCGCGGCTCTCGCGGAAGCTGGATGCAGTACTTTGGCTCGTTGTCGCGTGCGGGGGCCCGAGCTCATTATGCAGCGCCAGAGGCAACCCTGCACCCAGACAGTGGCACCGGGGTCTCGGCGTTCTGCCCCTCCGCGCAAGCCGAGGGAGGTCCGCGCAATCTAGTGGTGGGAGCGCACCAGAGCCAGAACCAGCCCACCTGCAGTTCGCAAGGTCAGAGTAAGGGTGCCGAACGGTCATTCATTGTCCCTGGGTGCGTGGCTGAATAGGGCATTCGTGGTGAGACTTCTGCTTGATGCGTTGTTGTTGTTGTTGCTGTTGTTGGTGATTTGTTGTTGTTGAACTCTCACTACTGAAAAATAATTATTGTTGATCCCCCCCGCCCGGTGCACATTATATTTTTCCGATTGAACTGCCCCTCCTGGCGCTCGCACCCGTTTTTTTTTATCCGGGAAAGTCTTGAGGGTCAAATTGTGTTGTTGGCCCCCGGTTTACAACAACAGCGGCTCCTGCCTGAGACTTCCTCACATGTTTGCCAGGATTCCCACTCCCGCCCGAGACGTCATCGCATTTTTTTCAGGAATCGCGCTCTCGCTTGGGACTTCCTTACAATTTATTCCAGAATCGCTCTCTCGGCGCTTTGGAGTCGCGCTCTCGCTGGAGACTTGCTTGCAATTTACTCAAGTTTAGCTCCCTTGCGTTGGAATTCCCCGAGATTTATTCAAGCGCCGCGCTCCCGACACTCAGGCACCCAGGAGTCGCGCTCACGCCTAGGACTCCCTCACAGATTATCTAGGCATCGGGATCTCGCTGCCTTTCGTGGCCCCGCTGCAGCCCTTCGTGGCCCCCTCGCTGCCCTTCGTGGCCCCGTTGCAGCCCTTCGTGGCCCCCTCGCTGCCCTTCGTGGCCCCGTTGCAGCCCTTCGTGGCCCCCTCGCAGCCCTGCGTGGCCCCGTTGCAGCCCTTCGTGACCCCCTCGCTGCCCTTCGTGGCCCTGTTGCAGCCCTTCGTGGCCCCCTTGCTGCCCATCGTGGCCCCGTTGCAGCCCTTCGTGGCCCCCTCGCTGCCCATCGTGGCTCCATATATGTATGCCCTTCGTGGCCCCCGCTCGTTCACCCCCGTCGTGGCTCCACCTGCATGCCCTTCGTGGCCCCGCTGTCCCCCTTCGTGGCCCCCTCGCTGCCTTTAGTGGCCCCGTTGCTGCCCTCAGTGGCCCCGTCCTTGCCCCCCCGCGGTCCAATATACGTATGCCCTTCGTGGCCCCCGCTCGTTCGCGCCCGTCGTGGCCCCATGTGCATGCCCTTCCTGGCCCCGGTGCCGCCCTTTGTGGCCCCCTCGCTTTCCTACGTGGCCCAGTCGTTGCCTCCTGTGGCCCCGCATCATTTGCCCTTCGTTGCCCCCGCTCGAGCGCGCTCTTCGTGGCCCCATGCGCATTCCCTTCGTGTCCCCGCTGTCGCCCTTCGTGGCCTTCTTTGTGCCCTTTGTGGCCCTGCTGTCTCTCTCTCTCTCTCGCTTTCGCTCGTCGTCGTCGCCGTCGTCGTCGTCGACGTCTTCGTCGACGTCGTCGTCCTGGTCGGTCCCCTGTCCGTCCCTCCTGGGGTCGGGTTGCCGCCGATCAGCGCTGCCGCTGGCCAGGCCGACGGTCCGCGGCCGCCCCGCCGCTTGCCGGGGCCCGGCCTGCAAGGAAGAAAGGTATACACCCCAAAAGGGGTGCGATAGAAGGCGAAGAGGGCGGGTATTCAGGGTTTGGGGAATACGCGTTAACGGACATTCGAGCAGATAAGAGCGAGCAGTCTTACATTGATTGTTATTGTTGTTGTTGGTGGTGTTGTTGTTGTTGCTGTTGCTGTTGCTTGTTGTCGTCGTCCCACCCCGCGACCCACCCCGCGACCCACCCCGCGATACACCCCGCGACCCACCCCACGACACACCCCGCGACCCACCCCGCGACCCACCTGCGACCCACCCCGCGACCCACCCCGCGACCCACCCCGCGACCCACCCCGCGACCCACCCGCGACCCACCCCGCGACCCACCCGCGACCCCACCCGCGACCCACCCCCACCCGCGACCCACCCCGCGACCCACCCGCGACCCACCCCGCGACCCACCCGCGACCCACCCCGCGACCCACCCTCAAGAGAGGAAAAACCACCCAGACCCGACAATTGACGATTACTAACGGCCCGGGGCGTTTACTAAACAGCTCTGCCTTGTTCGATTCATTCCTTGTGTGCGTTTACGGCTTCGCTTGTCGGGGTGATGATTATGGGGTGGATGTTCTGCCCTCTACACCCGCGACCCAACAACGACCCACCCGCGACCCATCCGCGACCCAACCGCGACCTACCCACGACCTACCCACATTGGTTTAACGAAAAATCGGCGCTTGCGGTGGGCTCGTTGTATACTTTGTGAAACTTTGGCGCCTGCGGCGGGCTTCTCCAGAGTCTCGCACGCTGCCCGGCGCCGCCCATCGCGCGCTCCGCGCGCCAGGGAGGGGCGGGGTCCAGCGCCAGAGATCGGCGCGGATTTCCGCAAATCTTTGATTTTCCATCGAAGCGCTCTGGGCTCAGGAGGGGCTCAGGCTATTTCCTCAGATCCAGGACGGGGAATCTCCTGCGTGGCCGAGGCTCGCCATGGCCGGGAGATCCCCCCCCTCGTTCCTTGTCCTCCAGTCCTCCCAGGTGGGGTCGAAGCAGGTGCGGTCTGAGGATCGCGCCGCATCGCCGATGCATCGGTGATACGGTCCCCCGCATAGAAAAGATGAGCGGCTTTCCAAGGTCACCCTTGCTTCCTTCCCCTTCGGCCCATCCTTGGCCGCTTTCGCTGGCCACGCCCCGCTCGCAAGGTGTCGCCGTGGCCCTCCGAGGCCCCTTGCACCCTGACCGTGCGTCCGTGTTATACGGGTGAACCGTACAGCTCGATGTGAAGCCCCATGTCCTTCACGCTGCTGGCGCCGCTGCCTCGGAGATGGGGCGCGAGTCTCCGACCCCTATCCGCTCGGATCCCATGGGGGAGGCCTCCGTATCCAGCGCTCCTTCTGGTGGGGCGGTGACCGGGATGTGAGCTCCAGAATTCGAAAGGGAAGTCTCTCCGATGCCTCGGCGCCGTCGGCGTAAAGAAAATCGGGCTTCACATCAAGCTGTATCGCCGATGCATCGGCGATGCCGCGCGATCCTCCGACCACATCCACTCGGATTCTATGCCGGAGGCCTCCATATGCAGCGCTCCTTCTGGTAGGACGATGGCTGTAATGTTAGCCCTGGAGCTAGGAAGGGCTCACCGCCCCGTCCTCTCTCAGGGAGTGGAGCAGCGCTCGTGGCGGCGAACAATTTATCATTACTTATTCTTGATATTATGACACTGTGCCCCCCTTGCATGCGCTTCAGTTTCGTGCTGCCTGCCATGCTTCGCGTGACGTCGAGAGGCGCGGCTCTGGCGGTCTTCGGCCGCTCAATCATTTTTGTTGCTCCTGGCCCAGAGGTTTTCCATAGCTCTTGGATTCGCATGCGGCGTTCCAACATAGGCCTTGCTTTCGAGGATCGAAAGACTTGCCATCTCTTCCTCGGCGGAAGGCGACGAAAGGCCAGCGGAATTCGGCGGAAGTGAAGCGATGTCGCCTCCGCTGGCGGAAGCCGGTGTGAGGCCCGCGGAAGGCGGCGGAAATAGAAGGTGCGCCCCCAAGAATTGACAACCTTTTTGGGCCCAGGGTGTCCGAAACCGGCCACATGACTCCGTTTGTTCCTCTTCTGGGAGGGCGAGCTCCTGGCCGGCGGGGTCGACCGGCCCTTCGAGCACGCGGCCGCCGAGGCCTGCAGCCTCACCGTGGTCTTCGGCTGGTCGGTGCGCTTCTCCGGGCAGGTCGCCGCCGAGGAGGTGGCCGCGCACGAGCCGGTGGCGATGCGCTCCTCGCGCGGGAGGCTACGGGCCCTCTCCTCCGCAGACGCGCTAACGGCGATGTTCAGGCAGACAGCTACCAGGTTTGGAAGGTGGGGTCGGGAGAAGTGAGGATATCATTACCCGTAGGTGGTCGAACATATCATTCATTGCATGCAGATGCTATTGCTCATACCCTCCATCCTCCCAACCCCTTTCTCCCAACACGATGATTGTTCTCCTCAGATGCAGGTAAGGGCGATGTAGGTTTCGGTATTGTAGGTCATGGTGGTTCGTGGCCAGCTGAAACTCAGGAACGTTTTGTTCGTGCTTCCTATCATTTGTTCTGTGCGAGTTCGGCGTCGCAGAGACCAGATTCCAACATCGCTATTATCCAACATTGCCGTTAGCGTGGCCTTGGGCCCTGGCTCCAGCTCCAGAGCACCTTCGGCGAGTTTGTCAGCGGGGCGGGGAGGTAGCAGGGGGGAAACGGGTCCTCAGGGAAGTGGGTCCCGGAGC